TGTCCTTCGTTGGAAACTCGTCGCAGACCTGTTGGTCCATCCATAGTCCAAGCCGAGCCGATCCCTGGTTCAATGGCAAGGGCGACGGACATGCTGTTGTCTCCCAATAGGGGGGGACAACCGAAGCAGGTGCAAGGCCCTTCGAACGGACATCAGCGACCACCATCCGATCCATCTCCAGTTTCCAGCCTTTCCAAGCTCGTGGAAACTGGCTTTTCCAGCCACTCCGGTGGGGTCCCGTCATTTCGAAGGCAAACTCTTCCAAACACTCTTCCACGGAAACCTGAAACTCGTCACTTTTCCAACACTTTCCTGTGGAGTACAGGCCTCACAAATCACCTTCCACAGCTTTGCCGCAGCAGTGGGGTCCACCTCCTAGATAGTGCCCCTGCCATATTTCTAGTTTTTTTTTGTTTTTTTTTTTCTTCTTCAAAGGGGTACTACCCCAACGACAACCATTTATTTTATTTTATTTTTTTTGAAAAAACTATGAATGAATGCTCATAACCTCTAGACTCCCAACCAAAACTCTCTAAGATTGTCCAACACTATCTTATTCCCTGTCGAGCTCTCCCAGGCCTCACACCCCCACCCGGCTAGGTTACACGGCAACACGACTCACCCCAGCTCCGGCCAGTGTCGTCTCAACAGCAACCCTTGGTTGTCCCTTGGAATGCCCACCCCAAAGCATCCCCGGATCTCTCTACCAGGCCTCACGCTCCTGCAATCAGCAGGTTACAGGGCAACACCCCAGCACCAGCCAGCGTCGTTTTTTTTTTTTTTTTTTTTTTTTTTTTTTTAATACCCCCGCCAGTGTTAGTGGTGCTGATAAGAGCAGTCACCACTAGCATCTGGGGAGAAGCTCCAATCTATTGGTGGGGAGCATCACCTGCTGGAAAAAGGGTCCAGCGTCCCTTGTACAGATTGGAATTGAGATACATCAGAAAAGGGATGCTCATAAGGGTCTTGCCAGCATTGATTGCCTTGGGATCCAGGGAATTTGACTGAGCAAGATACTGGAAGGAGGGAGGAACCTCTTCACCCTACAACCGGCGCGAGATGTCCACTGCTACTTACTAGTCCCCCCCCCCCCGCTGGCTACCCATACTCTCTTGCTCAGAGCGCTTCGGACGAGGAAAAGAAATATGGATATTTAATCGTCGGCAGAAAAGGCCTCCCCGGGGGGCTCCAGGGAGGAGTCCTTTATATATGAGTAAGAGTGTGTAGAAGACATCAAGTCAGGGTTTCTATCAAGGAGAGGGCATGGGTGGGCAAAGGGTCTGGAAAATCCATGGGGGGGCGAAGTGGAAATGAGGGTTCAATGTTAGTCCAGTCATTGAAAGTTAAGCGATAGTCCCTCATCTCTTCAAAATCCCTTTGTCCCTCTCCCTTGTCTCCACTCCATTCTACTCTTGCGATCCATCCTTCTCTCTCCCTTCCCACCCAATCCGTGCAAAATGTTGTGATCCGTCTCCTGACGTTTCCTACTTGTTTAAAATGGTCTAGTTGTGCTTTTGTGTCTCGCCATCTTTGTGTGAGTTCGAAGTGTACCTGCTGCCGAATCTGTTCGGTGATTTCTGGCTCCTCTATTCTCACCTTTTCCATGGCAAGCATGCATCGCTGCCACCAGAGTGTCCATATCACTGCTCTCCTTCCAAGTCGGAACATATTCTCTATGAAGGTTGTGGCAGCTTCTGCCTGTGGCCAGTGACCGGACAATATGGTTTGTCAGGACAAAGGCCAAGGAGTTGTGGATTCCATCTTTCTCTAAACGCGATACCACCATCTTCATATGAATTGGGCGATTGGGCATTGCATGAAGATGTGTTCAACAGTTTCCGTTTTTTTGTTGAACGGAAAGAGGCTCTAATATTTATGACACCACGGGAGCAGCAGACCCTTTTGTTCTAAATCAGTACGGTCGGTCAGCTAGTCGTTTGTTGGTAAGCAGCGGTGGGCAATCTGCCATTGCAGGGATGTGATTTTCATAGGTTTGACTTTTTGTGCTTGGAACCATTTAATTGGAGATAGTAGGGAGCGGTCCACATTTAGGTGTCTAGCCCATCGGCCGTTCACTACGTCTCTAAGTCGTCTTTTGGGTCTGAGCATTTTATAAGCTGATTTGGCCGACAACTGGTGAAGGCTGATACGTCCCCATTTGGGGCCTCCCCTTCTTTGGGAGGGTTCCCATGTCCATTCTGCTGGGTCCAGGGCCAGGTCCTGGATTGGTTTGAAAGGCTGGAACACCTTTCTCTGTCCTTTCTCCTATAGAATTCTCACCCTGTACAAAGAAGCTTTCTCCTTCCATTCGAATGGGGCTCTGCTACCTTGAAGGACGTCTGCTCTGGTGATTGCATAGTGTTCAACCAGGACAATCTGGGGTAAGAGTCTGACCATGTGTATCAGTTCTATCCTTTGTGGAGATTCAGTACTTGCTACCCAGTCGCCTTCCTTCAAGGAGGGACCTTGTTTAAGGATTTGGTACCATGCGCGGGGGATAGCTTCGATCAGGTTATCTAGATGCTTCTCCAGGTGGTTACAGTACGTAGGGTTCATCGCATATGCTCTCCTGTTTTCCAATCCCTCCTGTCAGTGTCCCAAAGATCCCCAACCCTGAGCACCCCTCTCTTTACCCAGCTTTTCCAAGGTAAGGAAGAGCTAATCATGACACAACCCATCAAATTTGTCACCCATCGGTTTCCAAACAGAGGTTGCCAATAGACTTCTTCCCAGCGGTTAGGGTGGATTCTATTAGGGAGCGGAAGTCTACGCCAAGTTTCCAGCAAGGATGGCCAGAAGTTGTCTGAAATCTGGTCGCCACCTTCCAACCCTTCCCTTCCTTGGGGGAGCTTGCGTGGGATCGACCAGTATCGATCCTCAAGCCATATCAATGGCTGAATAGTTTGGGGAGCCTCTGGGGCTAGTCGGGCCAAATAGTCCAAAGCCAATGTGCACCAAGGGCACCGGGGGACGAAGATGAGTTTCTTAATTCATCTTAGGCGTAGCGCTTGCACTTGCGTGGCTGGGTCGATTATTCCCAAGCCTCCCCCCGCCTTAGGTTGGATAATTGAATCTCACGCCACACGGATGATCACGTTGTTCTGCTCGCCATCCCCTTTCCATAGGAAGGCTGTTGTTTTTCTCTTTAAACTTTTTAAGGCGGTTTTGCTTAGTGGCCACAGTAAGGATTTATACCATAAGGATGTTAATTACAAGGGCGTGGCCACGGCCAGCGTCGTTCTTGTATCGAACAACCGCAGATCCATGAATGAACTAGTATCAAAGCAGCCTAAAGCGAGTTGCTAGAAGTCCCCAGAATCCGAAAGCATTCTCAAAACTACCTGGAAGATGATCCTCTTTTTTATGCAAAATTCATAAAACGGCTCAGAAAGCCCCCATCAATCCCCTTTACCACACTCCGGCAAGACTTACTGCAGCAAAGTCACCATCCTCGCTGCTGTTGTGCCCTATTTCCATCCTACAAGCTAGCCTCCTCACTAGTAGGACGCTTGATGTCCCACCATTTACTTCTCTCACTAACCTCTTTTTTTTTTTAGTGCTAGAAACCGGTTGCCCAACTTTGGCTAAGAAGTAACTGAGATGGGAATTTAGAAAATCATGAGCAACGACTACCTTGAATCTTTAATCCACAGTAGTTTTTAGTCTAGAACCAAAATGCTTTAGTGCTATTCGGCCGCCTACCCTAAGCCTACCACAACCCCCATGTCCGTTATACTCAGTCTCTACCAGACCTCACAGAGTGGCATGACCCACTCCATAATAATCCCCTACCTGCTGGGCTACATGGTGAAGCGACTCACCCCGACGCCGACCAATGTCGTCTGAGTACTAGCTTGCCAACAGACTCTAGAGTACCTTCCGCTCTCGACAACTTCCTAGATCTCTCTACCAGGCCTCTTGCCCCCGTACAACTCAGGTTACAGGGCAACGCGACCATGCTCCAACACCGACCAACGTCGTTCTGGCCTCGTCCGTTCACAAACCTATGAATTCACGGGTATCGACAAACATCAAACAAGTCGTCGACATCACCATAACAATGGTTCCAATGCCTCCAACTCCTACAAGTGTTGGTTGCAATCTTTCATCAACCCCATACATCTATCCTTCACAACCCCACTGGTGAACGGTCACCAGTCCATTTTACGTTGTTGTTGTTGTTGTTGTTGTTGTTGTTGTTTTTAATTAGAAAGAGTCTGAAAGACTATTTTTTTTAAACCACCAGTGCTTGGCCCAACTACCGATGTCGAGCCTGAATATGCCCTGCGCGTTGTTTCACGCCGACCCGTCAGCGAAACAAAAAAAATTGTTTTGGCTGGCGGCATCAGCCTTTCAGGTCCAGTACCCAAGGCCTCCGAAACTTGCAGGGCGTTAACGACAACGCCCCGCGACCGACATATGGGCCAAGTACTGGTGGTATAAGCCCGACCAGTTCAACTAGCTAAGTGACCGTTGTGCGCCTGCAGAAATAACAAATATAGTGGGTGCCCTCACACTGCATTTCAGATGGCTCACCTCCAAGATGTTGGTCCGCAACAATAATGACGGCCTACCAGGGGCACAAAACGACAACCACGAGAGAAATGAAAAAAAAAGGAAGGAAAAAAAAAGTAAAACAAGAAAAGGGGAGACACAAAACGACAGGCGTGAGAAATAAAAAAAGGAGAAGGGGGACACAAAACGACGGGCAACCGGGGGGAAAAAAAAATGCCACCGCATATCGGATGGCTCACCTCCAAGATGTTTGTCAGCATCAACACCAGTCGTGTGCCCCGACCCCGGGCCTCGCGCTCTTGTTTAATGGTGCGCTGTGAACATTTCGGTACGCGCACCCCTCTGTACACTCGCCCGCCCTCGATCGCCTTCATCTGCTGCCCTTCACAAAAACTTTGACCCAAATCCGACACGCAACACACCATAGACCTCCCTCTTGCGGCCAACGAAATGTTCACAGCGCAACATTAAACGAGAGCGTGCGGCCCGGGGGCAGGGCACACGGCTGGTGTTGATGTAGACGAACATCTTGGAGGTGAGCCATCCGATATGCAGGCGACTTTTGTTTGCTTAGGATTACCTGTCAAATCTTTTTTTTCTTTTAAATACAAATTACCTGTCAAATCTCGAACGTGTGGGCATTGGTTACACTACTCTAGAAAAGTTATTCCCATAACCGTCAGAGAGATGGATGATCACATCGCCTTGGGTATAAACACCACAAATGTGTCTCACGTCTTAGATCTTTTTTTATTTTATGAAGTGTTGAGGTCGTGACTCACATCCCTCTGAGTCCTGTATGAGAGAGTCGAGCCTCACCAAGTCGTGACTCGCGTACGTTTGTATTCGACATTTAGGGTTATTCAAATAGAACGCACATACATTGATTCGAATAGAACGCACCCTATGCGTTGTATTTGTTTACAACGCGTATGCGTTATGCTCGCGGGAAGAAGGCAGTCGGCAGCTGAAACCTATCTGACCCATAGAACCTGGAAGGGGTGGTGACACCAATATCAATTTCCCATCGGGTTACATGGAAGCCAAATGGGATAAACATAGGATTCGTGACCACCCCCCCCAAGAAAAAAAATTGGGTTTGAACGAAATCTATTTAGGATTCTGAGCATATGGTTTTTATGTCTTCTGTAGGAGCAAGATTCTTTGTAAGGAAAAAAAAACACAAAAAAAGAATTAAAAAAATAAATTTTGAGAACCACTAGAAGTGGCGAGGAAAAAATCAGGTATTTCCACAATAAATCATTACTAGGCGAAGTATTGTACATTTAGAAATTAACATTTATATTTTTTTATTATCACAAAAGATCATGTGTATAGTCTGCGGGCAAACTTTCTCTTTTATAATGTTGTTTAAACTTCTTTTTTTTTCTTTTCGATTTTTTATTTTTAACTTGGGTTTGACTAAGAATTTGAAGATGTCTCCGTGACAAAAGTTGTTTGTGCTTCTATTTCACATAACATACATTTTTTGACAAAGATTTTATTGTTAACTTCAAAATTGGTCTATAAAATGTTGGAAACGACATATAGCCCTATATGCCAGAATTCACTAATAACTGTTTTTTTACAACTTTCGACTTTGTTTCATTGGAACTCTGTTTTTTGTCGATCTATTGAGAATGACTTATAGTCCTATAATAGGATCTTTGCAAGCAAGAGTTTTCCTCCACATTTTGAGGATCGCTCGATTGTTTGCCTGATTTTTTGCTTTGTCTTTTGGAAGGTGGTCGAAAATGTATATTTTTTTTAAAACCAGAAATAAAAGTTTTAGTTGTAATTTTTCACTCTATACAAAATGTTGGGTTTTGTGGTTTTGTATGGTTTTCACGAATCCTGTGTTGATAGGGATAGGGTCATTGTTGATAAATTTCATCGATGGCCCATTTTCTGTTCCCCGCTTGAAAATCAATTCTCTGTTGGGTTACACGGAAGTCAAGCGGGGATAGGGTTGCCGTTGATAGATTTCATTGGTAGCCTGTTTTTCTGTTGAGGGTCTTTTTGTCTGTTAGGTGACCAATTTTTCGTTTAGGACCTTGTTTTTTGCCTGCGGCTGATATATCGAAAAGGTACTGGTGGTTTAAACCACAAGTACTTGCGTCCGATATATGAGAAAGGTAGTCACACCTTTTAAGCTAGACTTGTCACCAGTCCATAGAGTGGACACCAAATAAACCAAAAAAAAAAAAAAAGAGTAAAAAAAATGTAACTTTAGTAGAGTCACAAAAAAAAGTTATAATTGCACTGTGGGGCAAGGTATAGTTTGCAATTGCACTTCAGGCACCGTACCTGGCTAGAAAGCTGGTTGTATACATTGCCT